TCAATTTCCGTAAATTGAGTGAAGCTGCACAGGTATGACGTGTACATACATCTTTTAGAAAACCGGTTCTCTACTAATCACGTTAATTGTTACTAAAATGCTCAAGCTAAATATCAAGCGATTTAATCATTAATCCATCATTGGCAAGCATATGTACATACATATAACGCAAAACTGCATACATATACCCTTAAAAACCCGTCACTGTTCCACTGTGTCACGAAGATATTTAGCGATTTGCAAAATCCTTCAGTTACTATTCATTCCTCCAACTGTATCCTCGGACAGAATAAAATCCTGCATTTGACTTAAACAAAATGGATATCACTCTAATTTTTGCAGCTATTTTTTTCACCATCTTAACCCTATTTTTGTACAAGATGTCGAAATATGTTTCACACCCGGGCGAAATTATCCCCATCACTAAACTAATAGTTAAGCAGGCTAAATTAAAAAATCGACTTGAGAACAACAGCCCCGAGTGGGAGTGGTGTTTCGATCTCTTGAGGAAAACGAGTAGAAGTTTTTACTTCGTGATATTAGGAATTCACCCAGATTTTGTGAGACCAATTGCTGTATTTTATTTGATAGCGAGAGCACTGGATTCAATTGGTGAGAAAAAGTATCAAATAGTTAATGTCGTACTTACAAGGAGGAGGTGTGAGGTGGTTATCGCCGATATTGAACGGGCTAATTTTAAATTGTTCACACTCAAAAATAAGTGGACCCGTATTTTACGTTTTTTTGAATTTACGGAATTAAAAAAAAACAGCAAAAATCCGGATTTTTAAAAACGTTGTAACTTTTCGAATTTTAACCCGATTTCAAAAATTATGTTTAATTTTAGGTCAGAATTACTTCCATGAAATTATAAAATTCATCTTAAAAAATTTTTTAAACTTGATGTTTTAATGTCATTTCTGAACTTTATAACATGCTAAGAACGATGCGTTTTTAGTTTTATGAAAGTGAATTTTTATAATTTCAGAAATTCTGAAGAAAAATTGGGTTTAATTTTTGAAATCGGGTTAAAATTCGAAAGTTACGGCGTTTTTAAAAATCCGGATTTTGGCTGAATTTTTTCTGAAAATTCCTCCACGGGCGTAAACATACCCATTGAGGGAAAGACAAAAATACAGGTCAAGTTATTTTTAAGTATGAACAATTTAAAATTAGTCTCGGTCGATATCAGCGATAACCACCTCACACAATGGCATTGTTAGATTCACTCTTAAAAATGGTGTTGCCTTCATGAAGAGTAAATAAATACACGCGGAAATTTGTATTAAGTCAATTGTACTAAACCCAGAGTTAACTTTACATTCTCTTTATCAAGTCAAGGTTACTCTGAATATTTAGAATACATACGCTACTTAACACAAAATTCAGCTTGCATTTAATTATTAAATATCAAATTGGTAGGACTATTTCTTAGAGTGGACGTACATACATATACATAATTACCATGTAACATGTTGATTTTTTTATTTTACCCAGAGGACGACATGATAGTACCATCTAAACAAAAGGAAAAACCTCTCTGTGAATTTTATACACATTTAGGAGATGAAAATTGGAGTTTGCCTGGATGTAAGGTTTCATTAAATTGTACACTCTTAAAAATAATGTCGCACATTTTGAAGCACACTCTGAATTACTGTCAACTAAACTACACCAAAATCCTGAGTAATTTCATGCATCTAACCGGATAAAGAGTAAAATTTACTCGATATTTAATACACCCTCAATAATTTTTTTGCCGTATTTGTTACCGGCGTATGTAGGTACTATGCAACCCTCGCCGAATTGTAACATATATACAGGGCCTAAATTCTGCTCAGGTCCCACGGTCAACTCTCAGATAATAAAAATATTACTAGTATTGAAGACAATTTGGTATAGTGTTACCACACGGTAGAATCTCATAGTATAAGTGGAATTTGGTGGTTGTAAAAGAGAGCAATAGATGTGAAGAAGGGCGGTTAGCCCAGTGGTAAGGTGTTCTCCAGGCATGAGAAAGACACGAGGTTCGATTCCTCGTACCACCTCTTCTAAACATATTTTTGCTCTCTTTCGCGTACAACAACTACTAAAAATCCCACACTCCGCCCGTAGAAATTTTTTCAAAAAATTATTGAGAGTATACAGTTAACTTAAGAGTGCATGTATTTTTCCAAAGGGTGACATTATTTTTAAGAGTGTAATAAATACTTGAAAAAGTGGATAATAATTTTATTCCACCAAACTCATAAATAGTTGGCGCGAATCCGAACGAAATTCGACTCCTTCAAGAGTACGGAAACCTTGCAAAATGCTACAATTCGCTAAAACCTGTCGAGCAACGTGTAATAACGGACTCGATTAAAGAAATGGGATTCGGAATGAATGAATTTCTCGACCAGGACATCATCAGTCTTGCCCAATACGATAAATACTGTTACTACGTGGCCGGCCTGGTGGGCATTAATACCATCGAATTGACCATCGCCACCAAGGTTTGCGCACCATTTAGCATCCCTGAAGAGGCGAAACGGTCCGGCTGCAACTCGGCGAGACTCCTGCTGCAAAAAATTAACATAATTCGGGACATTCGGGAAGATCTCTTGCAGATCCCGCAGCCCAGAATATTCTGGCCGAAAGAGGTTTGTACAGTATGTAACAAAAGTATAGCTACGATGACATATTTTTTATCTCGACATGATGCCGTAATATTTCAACCTTGAAACTCCGTACAAAAATGTCAAAACTATCTGCCGACAATTTCCTTGTCGCCGATTTTTAATGTCGCAGATAGGTCAAAGGTCAGGATTATTTTTCTAAAAAAATTTGAGGCGTCGAAAAAAAAACTTCGTGGATAATTTTTTTTGAACTTTGCAATATTTTTTACTGGATGCGGCATGCGTTTTGAAGAATAAGGAGCTTTGGTCGGACCGTGTACGATTTTTTGGCGCCCACAGGAATTTTTCGCCCAGGACAGGTTGGAGGTCTAAAATCGCCGCCTTGGCGAAAATTAAAAAACTGAAATATACGTTTGCATATCCGGACCCTCTATATGCAAACGTATATTTCAGTTTTTTAATTTTCGCCAAGGCGGCGATTTTAGACCTACAACCTGTCCTGGGCGAAAAATTCCTGTGGGCGCGAAAAAAATCGTACACGGTCCGACCAAAGCTCATTATTCTTCAAAACGCATGCCGCATCCAGTAAAAAATATTGCAAAGTTCAAAAAAAATTATCCACGAAGTTTTTTTTTCGACGCCTCAAATTTTTTTAGAAAAATAATCCTGACCTTTGACCTATCTGCGACATTAAAAATCGGCGACGAGGAAATTGTCGGCAGATAGTTTTGACATTTTTGTACGGAGTTTCAAGGTTGAAATATTACGGCATCATGTCGAGATAAAAAATATGTCAGCTCTACTTTTGTTACATACTGTACATACATAATATGTACCTGTTCACATTCATTCATTTAGTTTAAATGTGGCGATACTGCTCCCCCCCAAAAAAATCAATACTGGGGACGGTGTGGATTAAAAGTAGCATTCCCTTGGTTGAAATTTTTCAGATTTCTTGTCATAAAATATTTTTCAACCAGATTTAAGTATTTTTTATGAAAAACTTACAAAAGTTCAAAAAATGCAGAAATATTTATTTTTACATTTTTAACAAGTTACATAATTTTTACATTGACTGAATTTTGAATGAAGAAATATTTTTCTGAACAGGTTTATTTTTAAATTTTGAACAAGTTACATAATAAAGAACGATTTACTAAATTTTTACTTTGAATGAATTTTGAATGAAAAAATATTTTTCTGAACAGGTTTGGAGCAAGTATGCCGAAAAATTGGACGACTTTCTTCTCCCGGGAAACAAACAAGCTGCAATAAATTGTTGTAATGAATTGATCCTTAACGCGATTCCGCACGTGTTCGATGGCATTTCCCTGTATCCGAACGTATCGGAATTAACCTGTCGAAACATGATAGGCATCTCTTTCACCATGGCGGTTGCAATGTTGGGATTGTGTTACAATAATGAAAAAGTGTTTACCTCCGCGGTAAAATTAAAGAAGGGCGAAACCGCCTGGATTTATGATAATTGTACCGACATTGCCTCCTTTATGCGGTTGGTGAAATATTATTCTTGCAAGCTCAAAGTAAAAATGGAGGCTAACAAAGAGAAAAGGATGGAACTAATTAAGAAGTGTATTAAGAAGTGTGACGAATTGATAAGAGCTCATGGAATAGGTAAATAATTAGTCAGTGAAATTGTATTCTTTTAAAGAGGGGTTTACCATAAATTTTATACAGATATAAAACCTGTATACATATATTGTTATTCGACCATGTCTGTACTGTGTAACTGAAGTGTTCCTAAGTAGCAATAATTAGCCAACAATTGCCCAAATATTACATCTAATCTCAATATATATATGTAACTTGTCAAAAGTCTGGAATGCAGGCCGCACTCTTAAAAACATTGTTACCCTTTTGAAAAATAAATATGCATTCGGAATTTTGTTACGCGAATAAGTAAAATTATACTACATTGTAATTCTCATTTTGTATCTAAATTATAATCTGTATTTATCTTATCTTTTCTTAAATTTTTGAATATAGCAACATAACTTACGAAATTTTACGAGATATGCGAGATTTCGCAAAAAAATTTGCTGGAAAACCGTGGGATTCTTTTCGCAAATTTACCCAGCAATTGGGCATGTTCTTATTTCGCAAACTCATCATCACCATCACAAGCAAAAGATATTACAAAAATCCATGGATACAATACCAAAATAGGTGGATTTCAGTAGATTTGCGATTTCTTGATCTTCACAAGTTTGCTTTATGAGTTGCGATGCGAAATAAGACGTTGTTGTGAGTACTCCCATTATCGCAATTTGGTAAAGCCACATATGCACACCATTAACACCGGGTTAAAATTATCAAAATTATAGCTCATTTTTCAAATCTTAAATTAATAACGCATAAATCTACATATATAATTTATTTATTAAATAATCATTAGCACCTGGAACATCATAAGTTTAGGTGGTAAAGATTGAAAAATTAGAATTATTTCGGTGTTAGAATAAGTTCCAGATTTGGTTTTAGTTCCAAAACCATCCCATAAAGGAGACTGATATCTTCTCGTTTTTGCACGGTGGAAACACGGAATTGGCGAAATATGTGGGCCAGGCAAGTCTTCATTTGCTTCAAGGCGTACTTCATTCCTGAAAGGAATTGAAGACATTAAGTTTTGATTTATTTATGGAGAATATTTACAATTTGTCAAATACTTAGTTCATGCGTATTATATTATTTAATACACTCTGAATAAATTCTGTATAGATTTATTCCAAAATTTGAAATGACGAAACTGGTTGGGTAAAATTTCCCAAATGGGAGTAAAAATTTCCCCAAAGTTGTAAATACAAAAAATAAAACGGATGTTCGGTTTTTAATGATGTAAACTTTTTTTAGGTTGATATTTAGGGTTTCTTGTTGTTAAGATAAGAATTAATTGTTCTGTAACAGATTATTTGCAAATCTACAATTAATTTTGGTTTCTCATTCAATTTTTGATTACTATATTTATATACAAACTTTTTAGAACTATATTTAGAAACGATTTTAAAAACTGGTTTGCTAAAATTGCCCAAAATTCGATTAGTGAAAAACCGGGTGTTTAAAATTTCCCAAAATTCGATGAGTGGAAAAATGGTTCCTAAAAATTACCCAAAATTCCATTAACCGAAAACCTGTTTCACCAAAATGTTAAAACTCGTAAAACCGGTCATTAAAAATTTTCCGATTTTGGGCATTACCCAGACAATTTCGAGGGCCGGAGGAAAATGGGATGTAGGCGAACAGATGCCTGGCAGCGCATTCATCAGGAAGAAACTTGTCTGGATTAAAAACTTCGGGGTCAGGGAAATGCGCCGGATCTCGCAGAATTTCGCGGATGAGGATCATCACTTGCGCTCCTTTCGGCGCGATTTGTCCGTTGCCTGAAAAAATGGTTTTGCAGAAAATGACTGAATGTGAATGAATATCTTCGGTCAGAAATCGGGATGAATTAACTTTGAATGACAACAAAATTTTGAACAGGTATGACTGTTCAGACTCCTCAATCACATGTTCAAATATCCGCTTCACGGATCTCTCTCGTCTTAGCCAACACTTGGCTTCAATCTTCTTCGGGGTATATGATTTTACAGAAATGGTAATAAATCATTACCGAGAGGAATATCCTCCTGCGCGTGGCGAACAATGCTGGGAACGGGTGGGTATATTCGTAACGCCTCATTGACACACATTTCCAAATACTTCATGTCCGATAAGTCTTTCAATGTGATATCACGGTTTGTGTCGCTCCCAAAAATGGAGTCCAACTCGAAATGCACCTTTTCTTGAACGGATGGATTCAAAGCCAGGAGAAATAAGGTGTAATTCATTCCGCTGGCTGTGGTCTCAAACCCCTAAAACGAAGGCATGGTTACTTTTCATATTTAGGGAACGTACATATATTGCATCATCATTTTAGCGATTGGGGGGTTTAGGTCATCCTACATATGCATTGTCAATCTATCGCAAATATGAAATGTGCAAAACGCACCACAAAGTTGATACATTTTACACTTTCCGAATTTACTGCGGGTTTTATCCACTTTTTGTGCAAATACCGTAAAAACTCAAATAGTAGCCGTTGCTCAAATAGTAGCCGTGCTCAAATAGTAGCCGTGCTCAAATAGTAGCCCTACGTTTTTTCATAATTTTAAAAATAGTGACCTTGCCCAAATAGTAGCCCTGCTCAAATAGTAGCATTATTAGCTCACCCTGCGTAGCACGAGAGCTATTGAATTCCTCTTGTCCGTCCGTCCGTCCGTCTGTATGTTAACGACATTTTTGCATCAATTGATGCTGATTAATAAGTCCCTGCTCCATTATTAAAGGACTAAGGAGCACCAGTGGTATCAAACAATCGTTGACGCAAATGGTGCAAGTTAATTGAGCAGATAGATTGAGATAGGACTATAATTTTGGAATAAGTAGCACCGTTAGTACCGAGCAATTGGTTATTAAAAATGATGCATAACAATTGGGTCATCTATTTCCCCCCAAAAATCAATGATGCGTAACAATTGGGCCATCTATGTCCCTCAAAAATCATGTCAGAATGCTGTTCTATTTGTTCGATTATTCTGCTCCATTGACGCTAAAATATATAAATTTTATAATAAATAATTGGGGAAGGGGCGCCCTACGCACCAGTGATGCAGAATGTCGGGAGAAAGAACCAGACAATTTTTTCAAAGTTTTCAGAATTATGTTTCCGGTTATATTGCACAATTGGTGCAAGAATCTAGGAGAGTTATAATCTATTTTGTCCGCTTATTCCGTACCTTTGGTGGAAAGTTATATACAAATCATTATGACAGGGTGAGCTACTTCTAACGTTACTACGGTTTATTCGAATTATAGCCGTGTATCAACTTAACCACACATCTCCTAGCCAGGTCATTTAAGTAATTCAATTATAATTCAATTCAATCACAATTACATACAAAAAATCGAAGTGAACACGAAATTCGGCTCATCGAAGAAATTGATTAAGAGCAGGTTTAAGCAATAGAATTGTCATAGACTGCGATTCTAGGGGAGAAATTTGCTTCTATTAAAATCTAATTTGAGCTTGATTCTGGAAACAATTCAATAGCTGTGTGGAAATAGTAACCGTGCATCTTTCCGTCATTTTATAAGTAGTCACCCTGCCCAAATAGTAGCCTTGCTCAAATAGTAGCCGGGTCCCAGATACCGATTTTGTAAATAGTAGCCCCCGGCTACGATTTGAGTTTTTACGGTATATATCTCCGCTAAACCTCAGAATTGGTAGATATCTAGTGCAATTTGCAAATGTAATACCTACTAACTAAACTTGCGATCAATTGACACTAGTTTGGTCCAAATCTGTGAGCATATACATATGTTGGAAAACCTCCATTGTTTGTGTTCCCACTAAGGGGCCGTCCATAAATTACGTTACGCAACTTGCGTAACGCAAGAGCGGGGTCTAAGGTTCCAAATGTTGAAGGGAGGTATAGCAAATCGCGAATTTTGTGTTCCGTAATTTATGGACGGCCCTTAAAATTAAACATTTTCGAACTAAAAATATGTACAAATGTTTGAGGGAGAAATCGATGGCGGAGAAGAGTCCAAAATACTTATTTACCGCCCCGTATATCGTAAATATGTGGCCAATCATGTCCCTCTCTGATTTTGAATCCAAAAGCACATCAATAAAAGGTTTCTGGACCTCCCATCTGTTTCGGTGGATGTAACTTTTTCCTCTAAAGCAATCTTACGCTTTGCAATTGCCTGAAATTATAAAATTATATTTCTTTACAAATTGCTAAATATGTACATTTGACTACTGCATGAAACAAGAACGATTTCTGATGGGCAGAATGGAAATGGGAAAAATGGAAGAAATGGAAAAACTCGGAATGGAAAAATTCAAAAATCTTTTCAAACTTTGACTTCATATTAATATTTTCTATCAAATTCGGAAAAAATAAGTTTAAATTCGGGCAATTGATATTTATTCATATCGAAAAGTTGGAAAACAATCAAAATTGTTCGATTCGAACAATTTTGAGATGAAGTTAAATGCTGAAAATATTTATTAATAAAGAAGTTATGCACCTCTGCTCATAACTAAAATAAACACAAAATTTTACAACCGGTATAATTTAACATTGTGAACGATAAAAAACAATTTTCACACTTATGCAAATATGTACCGTGGTAAAAAAATATATATAGTTTTTACCGGGAAAACGAAACAATGCCTATACACCTTCTGCATACGTCACTGCAAATTCTTACCTCCGACATAGTTTGGTTAATCAACTCTGTACAAACTTTGTCCTGTTTTCCTAGCCCAAAATAATCTCAAATTATGGGGCAAAGTGGTAACCAAGGTCTCGTTAGTCGCAATCGAAGCGAATCCAGCGCCATATGTGTCGCCCTTAAGAATTTGTCGGCATCGTTAACCTGATAGCTAGAATCTAGATCAAGTGCCGACTCAGAAATGAAGTCCATCGTTGCTCGAGCCAGTCGCGGGTGAAGGTTGGTCGCTTGATTTTGGAATTTTGTCAGTATTTCGACCAGCGTTTTTGAATGTTTGTTGAAAGAGGGGAGAAATCCGGCAAGTTTTTGGTACTTGAAGGAAGGGCTAAATAATTTTCGGTCCCCTTTCCAAACTTTCCCATTCGAAGTGAGGAGGCCTTTGCCGAACAACCACGTGAGTTCGGAGTAAGCGAGCCCTTTGTCGAGGCAGGTGACGGATGACAAGATTTTCTTGACGGGTTACACATACAATCATTAGACATTTAAAAATTGTGAAAAAACATTATTTCCTTAATCATATTTGCCTGTTATCGAATTTATTACTAGTCGGTGACAATTTATTATCGTGGATAGTCCCCGTATTATTAAAGGGTTAAGCCAAGCGAAATCCCTATATGGAAATAGATGTCTTGTCCGTCTGTCCGTCGGTCTGTCCATCGGTCTGTCCGTGTGTCTGTCTCCACGATAACTTTACAACGGATTCGAATTTCGATATGCGGTTTTCGCCACAGTGTTTCTAATTTTTGAAGTACGGATATGTTCGAAGATGGCTGTACTAGGTCATAAGATAATGCCGCCACGGTGATGACGCCAACGGTCAAAGATCTCGAGTTTTTTATTTCACACTTTTTCGACGTGGGCGTAGATTTCAAAAATCGATATGGTTTTGACGTGCGGGGACAGTGTCGCGTCACCCGTTTGCTACAGTTCGTTTTCAACGGTTTAATTAGATTGTATTCCAAGTAGATTCTTACTTGTGCGCCATCTGCATCTGAAAGTAGTACGAGAGGTACAGGACCGAACCAGAGTACGACACGACGGCTAAACTTTCGAATTAAATTTTCAAGACGGATAGCAGCATCTAGAATAAATAAATATTGAGGGATGTAACGTCAACATTGTATGTAACAATGTAACTTCGTTAGATTCACAGGTATATTTACAAACTGCCGATGTGGATTGACTTTGTACACAAATATTTCCGTCAAAAATCAAACAATCGAATTATTTATTTAAATATGACTTTTTTTACTAATCAAAAACCTGCCTTTATAGATATGTAAAAGTTCGTAAGTCAATTTTTCTTAGAAATGGGCTTAAAGTTTTGTAAGTTTACAATATTTCCGGAGTTAGGAAGGTTGCATACGTTGAAGTGAGTTATCTCGTAAAATTCAGGATTTATTTTAAGTATCATACCATCAATTGGCCCGAGTATGTAAGGAATCGAGCCCACAATAGGAAACTTTCCCGGACATGGAAATCTCGCTAGTAATCTTGCCGTTCGGGATAGTGTCATCCAAGCGTATGAGATACCACAAATTAAGGCCAAAATCGCCACTAGTATTGATAAGCCTGCAAAATTACAATTCCAATACCTGAGTGACACTTACAATTATATGTACCCCGCCACTTGACATTCGTACCAAAAAAAATTACTAAACGAGTCACCAACAAAGCGACTTCGCAACGTGTAACTCTCCGTTTTGCTTGAAAAATTTAAAATTATATGGTCCAGGTCATAAATACAACCAACGTTTTTTGTGCGGTAGTTTGAATTTGTCTAAATATTGGAGGTCAAAGTTGAATATTTTGATAAAAATCCTCTATTTTTGTAAACTTTGATGTCAAATATTTTGACAATGCCTTAAGAAACATTGGTTGTAATGTGATAACGTGGACCAGGTAATTTTAAATTTTCAGCCAAATCGGAGGGTTACACTTCACACCGTCGCATTGTAAGCAGTTAGCAAACTTATTAGTCAGTGTAGTACATACTAAAATTTCTAGAAATGGGGGCACACACCATGTTCGACCCGGATTATCTTATGATCACCTCAGTTCGCCAGAACACCACTGTATTAGCAACATCTACATAATATGACCAATGCAAAAAAATCCAAGCATTAATTTCGCGAAATCACTTCGTTATCAGCAGAATCTAACAAGCTCCGACATTTCTCATCCTGGAAATGGAGCATTTTCGTGAACCTATGGTGGATAGAATTTCCTCGATTTTGCGCAAATATGTGCAAATTTGTACCAATGTGGCACTAACTAAATGTTGTTTCTAATGAGTTGATATTTCAAATTGAGGTAGTCGAAAAATAATCCGGGTTGAACATAGTTTGCACCAAAATTGCCAGTAATAAATGAATAAATTACCCATGGTTTCCATAGAAGTTTGTCACGTTATGCAAGTTTAGAAGCTTTAATGCAACTGAAATAGGAAAGGTGATGAAGTTGAGTAAGTAAGTAAAAATATAATCTGTGAATCTGTCTGGAAATTTTTTGCCGTACAAATATAATTGTTGTGGGCCGTTCATAAATTATTGTAGTCTTACAACTCCGCCATCCACTTGCTCACATTCATTCATACCTGTTCAAACAAAACTTTTTTCATTCAAAGTTCATTCATGCCGAGTTCTAACTGAAGATTTTCATTCGCACTCAACATTTCATTTTCTATTAAACTCATTTCATTTCCCTTCATCTGACATCATTCTTACTTCGCCCCACGTATTAAAGGAGTCAGAAATCCTTTCATTCACAGTCACTCATCTGAAATTACTGAATCTTTCACTTATTTTCATTCAAATTACAGGAAATTCATTTTCATTTACTATCATTCTCCATCATAATCAGTCACTTGAATTGCATACATAATTTATGGACGATCCCTTATACAAAAATTATTCCACCCTTAAATATTTTCGTCTGTGTTAGAACAAAAATGTGTTTTTCCAGCCTAGCTATTATAGATAATTAGATGCTCTTAGGTTGCACCCGATAGTTGAATGTGTGAGTCCACCCTAAATAAAAGTTGTGGAAAATTTGCAGGTTGACACAACAATTGGCTAAAATTTATCCAACCGTGGGCAAATTGTCACGTATGATAGTCTAAAATTTGCGTAATTTTGTGTACATGAAGAAGCCGTAATATCAAATATTGGCGGGGCGATTCTTACGCTGCAGCCAAAATGTGTCAATTTTTTTTAGCTAATTTTGAGTTTTGTCTCAAAATTGTCCGGATTTGGTCAAGAAACAATTCAGAAATTATGTTGGACTAGAATTTGATTTTTCTGTCATTTGAATGAAAATGACTGAAAGATTCCGTCATTTCAGGTGAATGACTGAGAATGAAAGGATTTTTCACCCCTTCATTTTTCACCCCATGCTCGGGCGAGGTAAGAAATGAAGCCCGATAAAGTGAAATGAAATGAATTTGAACGAAAATGACTGAATGTGAACGAAAATTTTCACGCAGAAATAGGACTTTTGAACGACACAACATTTAGCACAACTTTTATTTAGGGTGTCTTATTACCAAGTATGTAAATGTACAACCAAGGAAAACGAGTCACTGAGAGCTGTGCAGTTGCATAAAAATGAAAATGTCCATCATTCAATTCCTGAATGTCCACTTACTTATATAACTAAACACGAATCAAGTTGGTCTTGGATTCACATCGGTGACACTTATTGACAACCTGTTTCGTCCTACGATAACATTTTTTTGTCTTGCTGTCTAGTTGGGAATTGTCGCGTCTAATTAATTAAAAAAATGCAACGTTGTTCATATCTGAGAGACAGACTTTGAGTAATAACAATCCTGAGCATCGTTGTATAATTAGCGAAATATGTGTACATGTGTACGTATTTTTTAAATAATGGCCGAAATATTTATTAACACACTCTGAGAAAACCGGTATTAAATCATTACTCACCAGAGAACAATTCGGCCAAATACTATCGGACACCAGGTCGAGCAATATATGTATGTACTAGCGTATAGCCCGGCCAAGGCCGGGTTCTAGAGTGGGGGGTGTGCCCAAAGCGAAAAATCCGTCATACTATACTTTAAATAATTCGCAGTGAAGACTTTGTCATACTACATACATACATCAGAGTGAGGGTTTGCCCAAGTCATACTGCATTTTAATTAACCTGGTCACAGTACAATTTAATTTCCCCCTGTGGGGGTAGTTGAATAGTTAATTACTTAAATTCCCGTCGCGTGGGAGTAACTGCATAGCTAACTATTTAAATTCCCACGCTTCACGCTCCCGTTAGGTTCCATAAACCCCGTTAACTTCTACAATTAACGCCAAGCTATTGACGGATTCGGATTCAGCATCAAAAATACATTCGAATTGATATGCGACATAACGAATAAGCCATATTTGGACACCACGGTCACGGCAAGGTCACGGGGGCCTCGGAGGTCAAAACCATTAATGGCGTTGGATTCAGCGTAAAAAATACATTCGAATTGATATGCCACTCGCTGTGGGTGGAGTTTCTCAAACTAAAATAATTAATTAATAGTGTTTATCAAGATCACTTATCATGATAACCACTATTGATGAGTGATGTATGTATGTATACTGCTCACTCACTCAATTTACTTGCACACTGCAAATATACAAAGACATTTAATTTGAGATTGATGGCAAGCGTATGTGAAAGTCACGTGCAGGCGAAGTGAGACTCATGCAGAAAATTCATGCATGCAACCGTTGCTCCGCTTGCTTCTTTGTCTCCTCTACGGGGCAATGTGCATTGAGAGCCACAGGGACCCAGGCAGAACTTAACACTAACGCTTTATGGAAGTAGATGGTAGAGATACATAGGTAGATTCCGTGGGGTGGTGGTGATATCCAAATGAAGGTGGCCCCTACATACATGCGGAACTAAACAGTTGAAGGTTGCTGGGCGGGGACTGTCCAAGGACCGCGGGATCTTTCCCGCGTCCCCCACGGAAGCCGTAGCTGGGGTCCACGGCACCCCCACTTGCCCCTTTCCCCATCACAACACAATCAGGTCATGGAACCCCCGTAGACCCGACTATATACTACTACAACTAGTTGTAGTATATAGTATAAAGTTCAATTTTAACAATACATTTCTTTTATATGTAAAACTCAGATCTCCATGGGACCAGTTTTATTTTGTTCAGCACAAAAATAAACCCACCTGTATGTTTGCATTACCCATAATGCGCTAAATTGATAGGCTCGAATTTTAATCATCTTTGAAGCCAAAACCTCTGTATGTGACAAAAACAAATTCATAACACGAATTAATAAAATATTTACGAGAAGGTTCCTCAAGACTACACGCTTAAACATGTCACATAACAGAACCTAAAAAATAACTTTAGCTAATGTGGCCCTCACACTGCGAAGAGCACTTTTATAAATTATCAGTACATATACCCTACGCGCACAAGTGACGATTTCATGAAGGCAAACGTGCTGGCAAATTCCGATTTCTTGCCGATGTCATGGGTGCAACAAAACTTACACCGCTTCGGTACCGAATAAGTACTATATTTGGTTGTACCTCCAATACTGACACACCTTCAGTATAAATTCGGCACCGGTTTGTTGGTATACAGCCTACACCGTTCATATGGTACCTATCTAGTACTGGTAAATATCGGTGACGATTTTTAAGTCACCCAATCGGTACTGGCTCGGCAGCTTGATTTTTGTACACATAACAAGAGTACCTGTCAGTTATCGATCAGGGATTGATGAGACTGTAAATTGGCGGGGGTCTCAATCCATCATCTGCAGTGACGAGTTAGATTGCACGTTGCGAATAAAAACCATAAATATGGATTTAAAAAAGTTCTCTGTTGTCCATTTCGTCGACGAAAACAGTTATGAAGTTATCCCGTCGACTTGGATAACCCCGGACCAAACGCGTGGTTCGTTTCCGTCAAATAAACCGAAAGGGCTGCAAAAATTACAATCTACACCTGACTCTCCTTACAATTCTGCTTGGCCATTGTGGAACATAAAGATAATCAAGTCTTATGGTAAAAACGTAAATCCACATAATCATGTAATCTAGTTATTTTTGGTATTTAATTACTAATTTTTTATACACAGACAAATTCGAGCGAGCTAACAAGAAGGCTGGAAGTGTGGTCAAAGGACTCGAAACTAGTGACATTGAACAGGTGAGGAAGTCTCGACGTAACATTCCACCACAATTACCGTCGGAACAAATAATCGAACCGGATTCAAATTTAGGTAAGACAGCAACTTCATAATTATATTAACATTAATTAAGGCTTATTAAATAATTTTTATATAATATGATTTTCTATTAATTTAACTAAATAAATTTCAGGAGAATCGGCCAAACTAAATAATTTCCTGACATCAGACCAGGAAGAAGGTCGACAGCATGAACGACGTGAGGTTCACGATAATCCTCAGTCTCTAAGTGAAGCACCCGGATCAGGTAGAATTTACTATCATAATAATTGTTGTTGTCAAAACGTACAGTATGAAAATCTTAATTTTTAGATTCGATTATTTATATACAATATTTAGGTCAGGAACTCTTTCTGCAAGTCCACAATCCGGATGTTACGCAACTCCAAGAAGAATTTCGTCGTAAGTAATTCTTAAAATGTTAATCGTATAATTATCCCTCGAATCAACAATACATTAAATGTGTATTTGCTTTTAGGATTCCAAGAGGAATCTCTTCATAACCAAGCCGAATTGTTGGTTCGAATTAACGATTTAACAAAATTAGTTAAGCAAGTACTTTCGTCAACTGGTACTGTTCCGTCCCCTTCAACATGGCCATTAAGAACATTGGAGGATTTTAAAACTGTGGACGAATTAATTAAAGATCCGAAAAATTTTGCTGCCGAGGTTACTTACATTGATTTGATTTATACACAAAATTACAATCAGATTAAAAATTTAATTTTACTTGCTTCATACGTTTTTAGTTCAAAGCATTGACAAAGATTCGTGGAGGATCTTTATTAAACCATATCTATTCGACACTGGGTTCGATATTTGCTCATGAGTTAGCACTTCAGATAAGGTGGACTGATGCTTCGGGAAAAGTTCAACTCCAAGGGTCAGAATTGGCGAGACTTGTTAGAGGTAATTAGTATAATCTTGTCATAGTTTAGCGTTTTTCTGTAAATTTGTACGTGTTGTGTATTTGTATTTATGAAAGTATTTATATTCATGTAAATTCACAGAGGCGGTAAAGTTTACTCGAGAGGAGGACCAAGACGCGACCGACAAGAACATTAACTCAATAATTGCAAAATGGTTCCGACAATCCCCTGATCGGAAAGGAGGCAGCGGATCTAGGAGAAACGTTAGCAGCGATGGAAACACCGAGGAGAACCATGGAGAGGAAAATACAGAAGAAGGTGCAGGCGTCACTTCTGAAAATCAGGCAGGCAACTTGTTGTAGTGTTGACGCACATGAAAATAATTTAGACAGTATGGAGGTTATCGACTCACACGAAAATAATTTAGATAGCGTGGATGTTTTTAACGATTCAAGTAGTAGTAGTGTAACTGATTCACCTCCTAATTATTTAATTAGCCAACAAATTACAGATGATTTAGTTGATGGCCCAGTATTAGGAATAGAATTAGAGGCATACCGCTCTATAACTGTATCAAAAAAGTCGCAACTAGTGAATTGGGCATTGACACATAATGTTACCCACTCAGCTCTATCTGATTTATTAGGTTTAATTAGAAATTGGCTTCCTAATGATAATTTTCCAGTTGACCCCAGCACACTTCTCCAATCCCCTAAACAAATAACTTTAGTCCCTCTCGGTGCTGGGGTATTTTTCCACTTCGGTATAACTCCCCATATAAATTCCTTTCTGAACCAACAAAATTTGTTCAGCTTTTCACTGCCAAAATTTGATAGCTTAAATTGTTCTAATCTATTGACCATAACTATTGGCATCGATGGGCTTCCTATTTAAAAGAGCTCAACGTACGAATTTTGGCCCATTCTTGGACGAATTGACCAAGATAAAACATCACAAGTTTTTGTGATTAGTTTATATTGTGGACTTAAAAAACCAGACAATATCGAAAGTTTTTTGGGCCCCTTTGTTAATGAAATGAATAGTTTAGAACAAAACGGATTACAATTTAACAATACACTCTTTAATATTAGAATTCGCTGCATTGTTGCCGATGCTCCTGCTCGTAGTTTTGTGAAAAACATAAAAACGCACAACGCATATTTTGGATGCGAACGATGTTACCGGCGTGGGAAATGGTATCGAAATAGAGTAACATATCCAATTAAAAATAAGGCTGATGCGTATACAAATGATTCGTACAGGCAACGGTGGTACCAATCTCACCATAAGGGCACCTCGCCTTTAGAGATTTTAAAACTGGACATGATTTTTCAGATTCCACTCGACTACATGCATTTAGTTTGCTTAGGAATCATGAAAAAATTGTTAACTGTTTGGGTGGAAGGACCGCTTCCTCACAAACTTTCCGTTAAACAAGTAAGGTTGATTTCAAATAAACTTGAGGCATTTAGAAAATATATTCCATCAAATTTTAGTAGGAAATGTAGAGGTTTGGATCAACTTCGTCATTTCAAAGCTACAGAATATCGAACATTTTTATTGTACATAGGGCCATTTTCATTAAAAAGGGTTTTGACTACAGAAAAATTCGATCATTTTCTACATTTACATACAGCTATGTATATATTAGCAACTGAAACCCAATCTAATGAATGGCTTAACTTTGCAGAACAATTAATAGATAAATTTGTTTCACTAATTCCAAAGCTATATTATAAAGAAATGATGGTGTACAATTTTCACAGTTTAACTCATATCACTGACGAAGTTAGAATTCATGGCTGTTTAGATAGATTTAGTGCTTTCGAATTTGAGAGTTTCATGGAAAAAATTAAGCGTCTTTTAAGAAGCAATTCTTGTCATTTATCCCAGGTGGTCAAGCGTCTGGAAGAAATTACTCGAAATAATTTTAATCACACAACTGCTGCTGGTAATTTTACGCGAGGCAAATCTCTATCAATTAATGATAGAGATAACTGCTATTTAACAGACGATGGCAGATATTGTATTATTAAATGCCTTAACCCATTATGTGTACAGTATTTAGATGTATGCGATATTAAGTGGTATAAAACTCAAAGTTCTAAATTAGGCGTTTGTAAAGTTTTAAAATTATGTGAAACTGTGGAAATTCATATTATAAAACTAAGGAGAAAATGTATGTTTTTAAGGAAAGTAGATAGTGATCTAGGGTATATTGTTCCATTATGCAATTCTGATTGTTGTAAGTAGATTATATATTTATACTCTATAAATTGTGAATTTGTTCTTTAACATAATAAATATGTAAACCATTTAAAATTGTGCATTATTTCACACCCATGTTATTGCACCGTAACGATATCTGGAAATTGGTGCATATATGTAATGATTTGGAAGTTCCGAGCAGGTACCGGTGCATCGGCGTTGGTTGAAGTGATGGCATAGCGGCACCGAAACTTCACCGATCATTGGCACACAAACGGTACTGGCAAATGGGGCAAATCGGTAGTTTACCTTCGCCAGTGTGCCAGTACCGACTGGTTAAGAAACCTTCACGTTTTTGCTGGTAGGGTATGTACATATATGTATACATATCCGTCTCGATTTTTGCACGAAACCCAAGAATGCTCAAATATGTATGTATGTATGTAGTTATGTAAATATGTATATCGCATAAGTAAAACAAGTTACAATGTAGGGCTAGTGAGTTTTTCCTTCTAACGTTACGTACAAAAAGGTTTGAGTACATTAAATTACACTAGTTCCAGCTCGAAATATATCAAAATCAGCCACTTCAAGTAGGGTACTATTATATTAGCTTCATCCACTTTTTACATTTCGTCATAATGGTTTACTAGAACATTAAACGTTTCAAACTTTTGCACGAATAATTTCGACCAAGATGTACATTTCCGACTTAACTAATTTCTTTGCAGTCATCCTAATTTCCAATCTTTCCCCAATCAACGGATTATCCCTTAATTCCCTTATCTCAAAAGTAGGAACCATATATGAAATAGACATGCACCGAGTACTCGGCGCTGCCGAGTACTCGGCAGATTTTGGCCGTACTCTCACTACTCGGACTCGGCCGAGTATTTTTGCGTGCTCGGCCGAGTATTTCTTAAATTTTTATATGTATCCAGTACCACTTTACCCGATACTTACATACACCGTGCAGTTCAAATTATCATGTGATTTTTGCAATCAAAATCAAACTTACTTGAAAATACACCCATGAAATTTGTTAATTCTATTCGGTAATCAACTTTAATCGAAATGTTGGAACAGGCGGAAGAATCAGTAGTTTCACGTCATTCTGTCCACCAGTTCTCAAAATAAAGGCATTGGTAATTAAATATTATGTAAACAATGATTTTTTTGGTGATCTTTTTGACAATTTACTCGGTGGCCGAGCCTTGCTCGGTACTCGATTGCTGAGCTTGCTCGGTGCTCGGCAAACGAGCAGAAACGAGTACTCGGCAAAAATATAGCCGAGTACTCGGTGCTCGGCCGAGTCGACTTTTTCGGTACTCGGTGCATGTCTAATATGAAATAAATTTTAGGTTATCACTGCACCTCATATTTTCAAATCGTTCTAATTTAGATTTTCACCTTATCATAAAATTACCTATCACGATTTCATACAGTACCGAAAAATCTTTTGACTCGCACGATGGAAAAAGCCAAGTGGAGAAGGAAGCTTACTACTACGCCCCACCGAAACGACACAGCTCGCAAAAATTCAAAATCTTTCTAACAATTTCACAAAATTTGAATGATTTATCGCATAAAATCGCACAGTCTGGACACGGATTGCGAAACAATCACGACGTTTTATTCTACAATATTGCAAATTCCGACGAATTGAATCATGAAGTCGGTGACATTAAACCTTATTAACGGTCAGGTCCCTAAGTCATAAAAACATAGAAATTACCTCGGTCCATCAACTCTGCTACCTTTGCCCAGCAACAGACCGCTTATTCATACTTTCCATTAGCGTTCTCCAAGATCCTTCGCAAATTGGAGAGATTCACTCAAAACTATCATCGAATGGGTACGGGGCTAAAATCCCTTTCAGGGGTAGAGGACTTTTCGCGACGGAAGAGAACATTAGACAAAATCCCAAATTGGCAAACTGCCAAAAGTATTTTCACTCTGAGTCTGGCTGCCTAAGTGATTATCCACTTTATGAAATTATGCAGGAACGGCTTAATGCGTCACTAGAAGGTATACAAGTTTTTAAGTGTTGACTGTTGTAAATATTTTGTTTTAAATATTAGGCAATTTTGTCAGCGTTTAGATGGTGTCCTTGCTCCAGTTTGTATTCATAGACCTTAGTTTTAATTTAATCGGTGCAGAGGTTAGCGTATTGTAACAATTTTACCATTTAAATGCGGTTATAGCGAAATAGTCTGGCAAGGGTCACAAACTGGTCGTTTAATGTTCTTATATATATTTTTTAAAAGGACGAACCTTCTTAAATGTTTCTTTCGTTGTTGGGATTTCCCCATTTTGCCTGAAATCAAACTCCAACTACAACATCACAATTTCCTATATATATTCGAATATTATAATATTTCCAAGATAAAGTTAGGAATTAATTGAATAAGCACAATAACAGTTTTTAACTGCTTGATGAAGTTTTGAAAATGTATATCTACATATTCCCTTAGCTTGGAGTTCCTGTCCTCCACTGGAAGACAAAGACGATTACGAATGGGCCCCACTCTACCTTTGCGAAGTGGGAATTACAAATGACCAACTGCAAGATAGCTCCGACTACCTCCATTCCCTGCTCTTATACTTCATTCAAGGGGAACTGTTCCTGATTTACTGCATCAATAAAGCCGACTACGACCCACCTTCTTGGACCTGGATAACCTCACCTTTCGACAACACGACTAAGCTCTGCCTTCTATGTACCTTCGTCCTATTCGCCATAATTGGCCGCAGATCCTCCATGATACTTGATGCCCTTTTTCATTTACATTGGCCTCTCTAATCTTAAGGCTTGGAAAAATCCCGCTTTATTCTTCAGCCTGGCGCTAACCTCATTTCTAAGCTATCACTACGAAGCCTTCATGACGACCAGTATAACGGCTCCATTGGAGCTGCATATATTTCCCGATATAAAAGAAGGGTTCGAAAACGGGTTTCGACTAATTGTTCCCGATCCGCTTATCTTAGGCGTATTAAGGTATCAAATGGAGCCCGAATTCAGGCAGCAAGTCGGGCGAAATTTTTCCGACGGGGATCTAATTGTTGTCTCTGGAATGCAGCATAGCGCTTATCAAATTAATATTACTTGGCGCGATAAAATGGCTGCCATTAAAGGGTTAATTTACATTTATGACGTGTTGGCGTACAAGGTGAAAAAAGAAAATACTGTGAGTAAAGGCGATAACGTGATCTGTTTCGTAATTAAAAAACCCATTGGTCCATTTACGGTCATGTCGAATTCCTACTCAAGCATGACGAGTTCCTGGTTTCTGCAAAACATGGGGCTTTGGAACGGCCCATCAGGTCTTTACGGAATGTTTCGGGACAGGTATTTCATAAACGTTGCGAGGACTTTGGCAAAGGACAGAATAAAAATTGAGAATGCAAAGCATAGTGTGGAGGACGAGGTAGCAGCAGGGATTAGATTGAGACTATATTCAAATTTTGGAATTTTATTTTTGTATTTGCTGTTTTTCTTGGGCATG